AAAAAAAAAAAAAAAAAGAAAATAATAATAATAATATAGAAAAAAAAAGAAGAATATGATAAAAACAGTAAAATTGCTTGACTAGTGAGCGCACGCCCCAAAATGTAGTATGGAAGAAATGTGTTCCTTTTTATTCCTTTTTTTTTCTTTTTTTTCTTTTTTTCTTTTTTTCTTTTACATCATATCTGCAGAGGATCTTACTAGATATGACTATATATGTATTCGTTTTCTATACTCAAATTCTATAAGGTAATAGTACACTATCTCTTATGTAAAGACAATCATTGGAGCTTACCTCCTACGTCATTTTGGCAGATACAAGATATATTTCAACCAATTCATACCGTCTTGTGCAATGTTTGTCAAGCCGTTTTACACGTTTACGCATAAAGGATTTCATCGTACGCCGATTAGTTCGTGTTTGTTAAGTCTGAATGAAATCTGTGTGTTTTTCGTTAAAAAGAAAAAAAAAAAATTCCAGGGATTAAAACTTTTCGAACGCGACACACGTTACACAGTATGGGCGAGAATCACGTGTGAAATTAATTTAATGCAATTCAATACAATAAAAAATGTATACGCGTTGTTTGAAAATCAATATGTTATAAACAGGCCTTATTCCCTTCAAAGGTCTTCTAAAAAAGATTAGATTTACATCTAATAGCATACTATAACGGACTGAGTGCCTATTTGCTGTTACATAATATTATTAATTAACATTATATATTATTTTACATTTCTCGTGACGTTTTAAGGACAAAGTAGTCTTCATCTTTATTTTTATCTTTCCATTCCCTTTTTTTTTGACGTAGTGCCCCCCGCATTTTCTACACATCGATAGCGCTTATTTACATTATCTCATAAATGACGGCTCGCCTCGAATATCTCGTTACACCTATTACTCGCTGCAAAGCAACATGGTATATCTCTGAATATCCAATGAATCCGTTCCTCTTCCATTCCCCCAGAATGTTTAATACGCGCATTATGATAAAAGATCTGCAGATCAAGAACAGTGGTATGATTATAAAATACGTTCACATTGTACATGATATATACATACAGATCTCAGATATAATCACGCGATGGTAACACGCACACACGTACCTGGTACTTGACTATTATCTTGTGGCTTGTTATTCATGAACGAATCCTGGAACGGATTTACATTGGCATTAGCTGCGGTGGGCATGTATGTGTTGGCCATTGGAGTGAAAGGTATAGCTGCTGGATTTAGGTTCGAGTTGAGGGTGTCTTCGTTGGCCAGATTGGATGTCAGTTGGAGTATTGGACCACTACTGCTATTACTGAGAGAGTCGAATTCCGTTAGGTCTAACAGGTTGTTGGTCACGTTGTTTTGTTTGCTATAAAATCAGCGAAAGGAAAAACATACAAATACTAAATAATAGGCGATTAAAACGCTAGGTTGCTACTGCGTCAGCGCATTGTAATTCCCAACGTGAAATTACAATTACTAAATTGGCTAAGCCAATTGCCAGACGACTCGTGGTCGAACGCTAGAATCTTACTAGAATTAATATGTACAATACTCATACAATTGTTCGTTGATGACTATGTTGTCCTAATCTCCTTAATGTAAGAAGCTATGTATTCAAGTATCTAACGTGTATCTAAGAAATGTAAAAAACGAACAAAACGAACGGAGGAAGCAAAGAATTAACAACTATGGTATAATACGGTTTGCCAAATTTCTTCGAAACATTCGTCTCGTACGAAATTATAAGTACAAAAAGTCGTCTGAAAAAACAAACACACTCGTCCTGAGAACTCGTCTATTAGAATAGATTTCGAGATTCGCGGTAATCGTCTTTTCGTCTTGCATCAGCACTATTCTCCTGACTAACAGTTCGGGAGGCAGCTACTTTAATACTGTAAAGCAGCTATAAGAAGCATTTTGTATATGCTTGTGAACTTATATGAAAAAAATTTCTATGGCGTAACGTAAAGTGTACGTGTGAAAAACACAATTAACATACAAAAGAATTTCCTCCTCTCCAATAAAATTAGGTGTACAATCAAGTAATGTAAATACATGATACTACCATACAGCAGGTTTTCACAGGTCAGATCGATAACGATCGCTTTCACCCGTATGTAACTCCCTATTCCCGATATTTTTCTCATTCACAGATAGAACAAGTTTGAAAATGTTCATGCCCCGTTTCGACATAAGGTAACCTCCTATAGGAATTGTGGAATGGATTGTGTGAAATATATACTTTTTTTTTTTTTTTTTTTTTTTTTTTCTGTACAACAAAAGAATAATTTCAAAAACGTGTAAAGGTCGATAGATAGTACATAGCAAAAGTAGACAGTAAGTTGACACGTACTGCTGGATGATATACAACGCAAACATAAAGAACATGTACAAAGTAGAGCAAAGAAAAGTAGAAGCCACACACCATATTGATACAATTAATTCACAACATGCATTGGTGGTAATAAAATCGGTAAGAAGAAATGTTAATGTAAACATTGTACTTAAGGTCATACACGTCGAGCTTGAACGGTTCAACTAATTGGAGGAAAGATAAAGTAATAGCTCACCAAAGATGACACACTGTCATACAATTACAAAATTCAGTAAAAGCATAGTGACATTGCGGTAACAGTGTCTCTTTGATGAGCTCGTGTGATAAAATTACAAACAAAATTTTTAGACGAGTCATTAAATTTATGCTATTTATCTTTCTTTACATTATGTACACTGAATTTATTATTGATTAGTTGGTATTTTAACGCTTATAGCTCTGTTAGTTGCTTAACATTTCCATGCTTCGTATTACATTACATGTTTTATGCCATTAACGATATTACTAAAAAAAATCGGCGTACAGTATAAGTTAAACTCTTCATTATTCTTTTAGATGTCTACCTAAAAATAGTATATTTTTAACTAGTACACGATTAAATATAAATTATAAAATATATATATATATATATAAGTATAATAGATAATACAATATACATTTCTCATACCTCTTGTGTTACCGATGATATTATAATGTATCCATATAATTTTATCGTTAGTTATTGGTATAATCGTGAATTTTCAATAGCAACCAATAATTGCCATAAATCTTTTTTCTCATATGTCAACCATTGCTCTGACTACTTTTGCAATGTACAATATATGCAAAATCGTTTGCATCATATAACGATAGCTTATCATAAAGCAATTTTCTTTTTTTTTTTTTTTTGCCGAGCTAGGTGAAATTTTGTAAGAAATTCCTTCCGATGTGGTATCATAGGAAAGCGCAATAAATTTATGTTATTTTAAATAATCATGTGTAGTGTATATATAGTATAGATATATTTTCAAACTTAATTTTTCTGTTATCATACGAATACCACAAAAGACATCTCAAACAACAAAATTCACTATATACATATTAACGATTAATTCTCAACGTATCACGTGCTTTTGTATGTATAACAAATGCGTACAGGATTATAATCTTTCAACATCTTTTTTTTAACTGTTCTTCTTTAGAGTAATTAAGCAGTTAAGCATCGGTGCTTTACTATATATTTCTAATAATTCCTTTTGTTTCAATGCTGATTGTAAAATCATACACTATATTTAATTACGTGTATATTTAATGTGGCACATTTTCTTTTTTTTTCGTTCTATTATATATTTGTTAAAAGAGAAGATGCTCACACTCTAGCCATTTTATTCAGCGTTTCATTCTCTACTCGGGAGAGTGAAAATTACTAAATATACAGCAACAATGACAAGGGATTAAGTGATGATAAAAATAGATAATAAGCGACGTTGCAAGCAATAATTTTGAAATTTTGAAAGTCATTTATAGTTCACATGGTATGTGCGTGTCTATTCGTGAATCTATAAACAACTTTCTCATTGTATAAATGACTAGAGTGTTACCCTGAATTACTCGACGTACAAAGTATTTTATATTCGCGTTAAATCAAAATTTAAAAATACAACTAGTTATAACGACTGCGAATGTCTGTATTTTCCACATATTAGCATATACGTTTGTGACACTATAGTATTACGATGCACAGCTCCGATTCAGATTTATTTTCTCCCTTTTTTTAATAATTGCAATACACATTTTCTTTTTTCTTTTTTAAAATTATACTTTATACGACAAATACGTTTATACATATTTATGAACGGCACTAAAAATCAGTCAATATTTTTACGTACGTAATGGCTAGTATTGTGCAATTATTCGTATTATATTAGTTATATTATTTAGCCATAATTTTTGCATCCGAATGAAACTACAACTTCATTTTAATAAACATGTAACGTAACATCGCGTATAGTTTATATTTATATATAATATTCGCACGAAACTTTAGATAAAATATGCATTTGGTACAAATAATGTTCTAAAATGCCTGCTATTCATTCATTAGAGATTAAAAAGACTGTTTCCTCTTTTGAAAAAATATGTCTTATTCTACACGAGACGAGTATACGCGCCGAGAAGAAAGGAAAGAGAAAAGAAAACGAAATAAATATTCTCGTAAAATGTTATGAAAATACCTAGATGCGTGGATGTATACATGTGTAAGGAGTTTTAGCAGTGTTCAATAACGCTAGTCTGATATAAGCCTTGCACGGGCATTCGTGCAACCATATTATTGTCGAATAATCTAAAAACCAAACGAACTTACAATTCTTCGAGATGCTCTTCGATGTTATCTTTCATTCGTTATCGATGAGAAATCCAGTTATATCTTGGATTTT